CCATAACATTTGATAATATTTATTCACCAGCAACTATCAATCAACAAGAATCTTCTTTATTTTCATTAACGAAATTTCGTTTATTATTACCATATACCGAAAATGTTATATTTGTTTGTCCATTAGTTATATCATCATCATTTAAATCTCAAATAATTGTTATTCCAATACCAATAAATAGTGATATTGAAATTCAACGTTGTTTAAATATGCGAGAAATATTAAAAAATAGATATTTTCATAATTTAATTCAAACATGTACTTATATTATAAATCAATATAAAACAGAACTTTCCTATATACATTTTCCACTTGTATTAAATACAACAACAAAATATATATTTAAACGTAAACATCCATTATTTAAAAAACGTTCACAATCAGAAACTCATCTTGAATATTATTCATCTGATTTAACAAAAAGAAAATATCGAAGATCATGTGAAATATATAATTATAATGATAAATCTGATATAGAAAATAATAAAGTTAATATCCATCAACACGAACAATTATATCATCGTGATAGTTTTGAAAAAACTAAACAAAAATTATCAAATAATCTAATTGATAATAATCAACGACAACAACCAACAAGATGTTCTGGTCATTATGCAAAAATAAAAACAGATAAACCAAAAAAATATTTACGACAACAAGAATATGATTCTCAAGATGAAAATTATCGTGATCTTGATCATATTTATGATTATATACGTTCAGGTGATATTACTGATGATGTACAAAGAATACAAGCAAAAGAACAAGCATTTAATACTGAATATTATAATCAAATAAATAATACTGCACAAGTATATCAATCAACTGTACACAATCTATCTAATTCAATAATAAAAGTAAGACAAAATAAAATTCTATTTTTAACTATACATTTTTGTTTTTGTTTTTTGATACATTAGAAATCAGAAAAAAAAATATCACTAACGGATAATTGTCCAACAACAAAAGAAAATCATCGATTTCGTCGTAATCTTGATGATTCCAGACCATTTAATGAATCTGATCAAGATATACGTAATACTCCTTATTTAGAATCAAAACGAAATACAACTAATACTTTACCTGAATCAACAAATTTGAAGACAATTATAAAAATGAAAAGATTAAGCAAACAATAAAATTTTAATCCATGCAATATAATTATAACAATTAATTTTCATTCGTCCATTTTATAAAAATTATTTATTTTCTGTAAGATATTTTAATAATAAAATATGTTTATGTAAATGTTGGACATAACTATGATAAGAAAAAGAAACAGAACATAAAGGATTTTTTCTTCAAGTAAACTTTTTCTTGTTGATAATAAAAAAAAAACAATTAGTTTTCTATAAATAGAAATCTCCTATATGGCTTTTGTTTTATAAATATTTCAAATAAAATTAGTTAGATGACGTATTCAAGGTCTTTATTAGCCAAATAAAGTAGAATAATAGAAAAAAAAAACAATAATTCTTTTTTCCGTAGTTATGGTTTGCTTACAATATTTGAAAGAAAGTATAGTATAAGGGGTATAAATATTTCTAAAAACAAAGCAATTATTTACAAGGTCGAGATGTCTTATGTTTATTTGTAATATCTTCGTACATTTATTGAATATGTACCAAGTGCAGAAAGATGCCTAATAAATAGATCTAAAAATAAATAATATGTGTACAAAGGGTAAATGTCATGTGTCTATAATATAACAATGCCTACGCTTACATCCGATTCTTCAAGGATAAATTAGTTGTATCATATATATCTGTTAAATTATTGTCATATTTTTGTTAGCGCTTTCGAGAGATAATTTAAGGATGGTTCTGATGTTTATTTTTGAAAGTACGACCCTTCATCAACAATATATTAATACAATCGATTAAAATAGATCATAGAAGTAGAGTTTGAAATCATTTTTTTGACAGATTGTTTATGACTACTTAAAGCATATCGAACCTTGGATTGCTGTCATCGAGTGTAATTTTGTATAGTTGATATTTCAGTATTAGCACTAGAAAGGAATCATATGAGTATAGATCTAAAGAATATATCAGATTAACATATACTTCCCTATGAATTTGGACATCAAATTCCTTGAAAACTCAGAATGCTTACAGTCCCGAGTTTCAGTAGTGAAAACTGAAATCTTAAAAATTGATTATATATTTTTCTTGTGATACACTTTGAAAACTTATGTTAGATAGTTATTGACAGGTTAATTTCTATCTACTAGATCTCAATGATATGAACTTCGTTAGGTTACTTTTTTTTTTGAAAAAATGACAAAATGCACTTGTCTGAATTTTTATTTCGATGAGCTTTGACTACTCTTGAATTATTTAATGAATTAAAATCGGTCTATTTAAATCTCTTCAGTAAATGACGATAACTACTTTCAGTCATCAATGAGTTAATAATATATTTATCGAGCATCAGTGAAATAAATTGATGATAAAATTATGCTTAGAATGCCTTTTCTTAATTTATGCGTCCAATGAAAACCATCTTCAATTATCAGTCGGAACAGTCGTAGCTGAAGGATAACCTAAACAAGCAACGTGAATTTTCTTGGTTGAATTTCACGCAACCTGTGAAGAACTATCTGTTCTCCAAGCTTCTTGATCTCTTCATATCTATACTAAAAATGTATGACTTTCTGTGTGTGTTGAACGAATTTTCTATTCACATAAAATCATAGTTTGAAACCATTCTCCTGAGTCAGTTAAAAAAAATATGACTGATTGGAAAGAATTGTAAGAATAAGGCGTTGTAAATAGTGTCCTATGTAGAAAAGTAATCGAATATCAAATCATAAAAATTCTTCAATGAAAATAAAGTACGACCTAGTAATAGAAATTCTAATTATATCCGAAATCCTTTATATACAGTATTAATTAAATTATATTTAAAAGCTTATATACAAAACATCTTCTATTGATATTTAAGACAAGATTATATATATGAGAGTGCCTAGTCTGGCCGAAGACCCCATTAATATTTTTTTGTATTGTAAGGACAAAACATACGATTGTTTGGGTCATATGAGAGCCGGTCATAGATAACCCTGGATTGGCCCGAACAACACCGTGTTTTATCCTTACAATAATAGAGAAAACCTACCAGCTCACACGATAACCTGATGGATTTTCTCTACTATTGTAAGGATAAAACATGGTGTTGTTCGGGCCAATCCAGGGTTATCTATGACCGTCTCTCATATGATCCGAACAATAGTATGTTTTATCCTTACAATACAAAAAATATTAATGGCGCTTTCGGCCAGACTGGGCACCCCCATATATATCTAGAAAAGAATGTATGAAGTAACATAAAATACTTTAAACGTTTTTTATATTCTCTTTTTATCAAATTCATTCATTGAAAATATTAATTTTCTAAGAAATAAAAGAATCATTGAACTAACGTATATTTTAAATAATAGAAATCATAAATAGAAGAATATCTTTGTTTTGTTTTTGTCACAGAAAGATTTCCAGTCTTCAAAAATAAACTGTGTCAAATTTGATTGAATTTTCAAGCTATCAACTAAAAGATTAAATCGATAGTTACAGAATTTGATAAGAAAAATATCAAAACAGATAACATAATGTTGTTTTCATTATTTTGTTATCATCTATATCAAAGGGAATAGTGATAACATAATATAATTTTTAAATATGGCATGCTATGTCAACACATATGTAGGATTATGAAAACAAAATATCCGCTACTAGGGTATGTCTGCCTGACACAAATAATTTCATATTCTAGTATTTAGTAGTAATATAACCTTTATACTTCTCAAGTTGAAGTATTTTTTTATATTTTTAACATTTGCACAACTCAAGACGTGTTCATAGCACATGATTTTCTTTCTATAGACAAGTACGTGAATGCTTGCATGAGTTATGTATAAAATTAAAGTAACTCACATGTTAAACTTATGAATATCATACGAATAAAGATCTTTGGAACGATTATCTATAACAAAATAATTTTTCTGACCTGTCTCTTACAGACTTTTGTTATTTAAGTTGTGAATTTTTATTAAGATTCGAATTATTTTGAATATAGAAAATGAACAGCAGAAAACAACTGAAAGGCAAGTAAACGATTTTACGCATCATAGATATTTCTTCGATTATTATGACAGAAGACCGGATTCAATGGATTATTATTACCACTAGCTGGCAATCGGAACTGTCTTATGCTATTAATCTATGTAGCTCATACTGTTTTTTTATTTTTGATTACTTTTACACGCATTTGAACAAGAATTTAAACGATGGAATAAGAGATTCAAGCGTTTGAACTCATTAAAAAAAAAGCCTCAATATGAGTTCATATCACAGAAATACTCAACTATGTCATGTGCATAAAAAAAAAATGTTTGACTTAATTTGCAAATATTTCTTTCTGTACTATTAATTTTTTCATGAAACATGATATAAAAGGAATGTTGAAGTATAGGAGGTACGGATTTGGATTACTTCACAAACATCTTTGGCAACATCTCTCCTTCATTACAGATCGTAACAGATGTTATTGATATACAAACAAAGACCGTATATCAATAACACCTCGTTATAATGTATGAACTACTTCCTTATTGTAGTTCTCGAAGCTAAAGTAAAAAGATAATGAAGAAATATGTCCAAAAATAGATCGAATAAAACAATAATCTCGTAATTAGCAATAACAGCTACATTGTGTTTTCATATTTTAATGGTGTGAGGATTACACTAATAGCTTATTTTTTACTTGAATACACTCATTCTGATTTCTTAGGTTACATTAAAAAAAATTTTTTTTTTTAATTTAATGATGGGAAAGATCTTGTAATAGGCTAATGAATATATTACTTTTATTTGACTGTAAGTTTCAGTAACAATTTTGATTATTAAAATAGAAGAATTACAAAAAAAAACACACAAATATTTTTTCATCATGAAAATACAGGAAAAAAAAAATAATTTATAATTTAATATATTTATAAAGCATTAACTGTTACATTTCTCATTTAAAACAGCATAAAATATTGTTTTAGCCGATTCAATAATTGTTTTACTTTCAACTAAACATAATTCATTACCACATGTATTATGAATACTAATTGGTTTAGCTAATTCTAAATGTAATAATATAAAAATTTTTCTAATAATGATCAAGTAAAATAAAAAATTTTACCAAGTGTTTTTAATAATATTTGATGAATAATAGAAATAGCTTTTTCACAAGCACACTAAAATATTAAAGATTAAATATCTTATTATTGATATAATCATACTAACTTACTATTAAATTATTTTCTTTATGAAACCATGCAAGAATTAAAGCAGAAAATGAATCACCTGTACCTGTAAAAGAGCTTTCTAAACGTGGAAAATCAATTCGAAATGTTTGATATTGATTATCTTAAATCAATTCAATAGAAAAATTATTTATAACAAAAAAACAAACAATCAATTGATAATTAATTTTACCTGCAAGTTTTGAACTAGCTCTCAATTGTAACATATTTCTATTACCACCGATTTTATCTGCTGATAAACTTGAAATAATAATATGTGATGGACCCATATTATGTAAACATCGTAATGATTGCCAAATAATATCATCTTGATTATCATTTTGAATACCAATCAGTTGTTTTTCAATTAATAATCTAAATTAAAAATTTATTTTTAAATGTTATAACATATCGAAAATGTTAAATTAAAGCAGAATTTTTTTTTTCATTCTTTGTTTTATATATGATTACATAGAGTGTAACAAGCTGATCAAGAATACATTACACTAGTAAACACCTTCTAATTATGAATAGTCTCAACTCTGATGGAACGATTTTTGCCGTAACTTTTTTCTATAATAACCTCTCTAATATCAGCATGTCTTTTCTGTCACTTGTTTTATATGGACTACGAATACGTAAATTTTGTATATAATTCGATTATCGCACGGGTAAAGTAAAGAATGACATTACGTCATGAGCTTACTTTGCAAGAAAAAAAAAATATAATATATCATTCAGCTTTTTTTCAAATATTTTAGAAACATAAAACAGAACTAAAGTGTTAGATCAAAAGTAAAAGACGTCAATGCACAAAAACTAGACTATCAAGTGTACGAATAATTTGTACAGGAAGATGCAAAAAAGAATTAGTTCAAAAACAAAAAAAGACAAACGACATTAGGGAATTCTTTTTAAAAATATTCAAATCTATGACCAATATAGAAGTGAATTTTCTGAAATCTTTTCTTCATTTCATAGCAAATCATACTTCAACTTTCTAAAATGAATACTTTTGAATGGTTCAGATAGTGTTCACAATAGAGAGATTTTACTGTATAGGTGAAGGCATATTTGTAAATGAGTTTTTTTAGATTCAATTTTTTGCACTAAATCTCAAACAAACAATTTTAAAATTTATAGGAAATCAAAAAAATTTCTCTGTTTCTCAGAAAAAACTAAACATTTTCCTGTACAAAATAAAAAACCATTCCAAAAAATTGAAAACGCATATATTCTTAATCAATTCATCATACTCTATCTAATCATATATAAAAATAAAAATAAAAAAATTTACTCGACTTCAAAATCATTCGGTGTAATTATATCAGCTAATGGAAGAATTTCATTTTTATATACGTCAATACAAGTTCGATCGACATACTATGCAATACAGAAAGATAAAGTAATAAATAGATTGAAAAATAAAATGATTATTTACAAGTTTATTATTATCACCAATTACCGGATCACAAACTAAAAGTTTGTTTAAGAAAATCCATTGAAAAAAAAAATTGTGCATTTATGTTCTTAAATTGTTTCATATTTACCATATTTGACATGAGGAAATTTCGATTTAATCAGTTGTATATATTCAGCAACAACATGTAATAATTCACCAGAACCCATATAACCTATATTTTAGAAGAGATTATTTTTAAATATTAAAATATAAGAATTACAAACCAGTAAGAATATAATCATATTCTAAAAGATTATTAGTTAATAATCCTTGAAAAATATTTCGAAGTTCATCCACACTTAATCGACTACCTTTTACTGTTTTATATCCTAATTATTATTATTATTTAGAATGAATTGATTTAAGAAAAAATATATTTTTTTATTTTAAATAAATATATATATATACAAACCAGTATGATTAGAAAAATGAACAGAATTGATAAGATCAACATCAAAACCGTAGAGCTAAAATATTTTATTGCTACTATTCAAACTAGATTTTCAACTTTAATTAAAGACGAAATACCTGTAAAATAAAAGCGGCACATTTATTTCCAACATAACCATAAACAACATGACTTTGAATTGATAGTGCTCGAGGTATTCGATGAGATTTATTAGACATATTAAGAAAAAATATGACGTTTAAGTCAAAGTTTGATAATGTAATCCAAACTTCAACAATTGTTTTCTCAGCTATAAAATATAATATGGATTTTAAAACGTTAATCAAGAGGTCGCACTCAATCGTATTAAATGTTCTTCGATTAAATATTGATAATATTATTTGCATAATGTGTAATGGAAAATAACCGGATATTACACACTCTGATGATTAGACTCAAAATAGATTTAATGTTTTTTTCCATGAATTAATTCTTGTCAATTTATATATATTGGAAAATGATGATCTTCTATGATGCCAAGATTTGATATAGTTCCAGAACTATGTCTACCATCATTTGATACAACGACTAAATAAGAAACATAGTTTTTTCGTTTCTAGTTGATAGGTAGGAATCTTTTTCATTTTCGAAATATAATTATTTCTACTTATGTATGTACATAGGATATCTGCCGAGATCATAAAATCGAATATAAGGACTTGTAAGGTTAGATGAAATCATATTATAAGATTCTTGAAAAATTTTATTGTCATATAACATTCCTATAATTTTATAATATGGCTTAGTAAGAAACGTTTCTAAGTGTTAAATTACTTTTGAGTTCGGACTATGTGCGACATGTAGAGTTCAAACTAATAGCTTATTGTTGTCGAGATACGGTATTTTTTAGCAGAATGCTATGATCTGTCTCTTTCAGAAACACCAAGCTTCGATTTTTAACTTGAAACTTTACATAGAGAATGTTCTTTCGCTGGACAGTGATTAAAAACTTTTTCTACTATTTGCTAACCTATCTAATAGCTTTACATCAGTTGTCTTCAATATCCAAATGGATACGTGATTCGCTAATGTATAACCATTCACCTGTATATCAATAATAAGCTATTTTTGTTTCAAAAGTGAAGATGAGATACTTTCTATGTTAGATGATATACTATATTAACTTCTGAGTGTTAAGTTCGACAAAGATACAGTGAATGTGGGGCTACTATAAATGGAATTGTGCAGACGAGATACTTAAAATTTTCCGTCGAGTATTTCCATTAACCTATTCTATTCATCTATAAATCGAACATAATATTACTGAAAATAGAACTTATTTTTCACTATATGATAAAGTACTTGAGAATAATCATTCAATTTTATTTTTTCTATTAGAATATTTTTGTTCTCAAATATTTTGTATTCTTTTAATGTAAAATAATAATTCTTTGACTTATATTACGATATCAATTTATTTTAGTTTGAAACAAAACAAACAAAACAAAAAACTAACATAGGAAACGTCAATAATAGGCAGTTCTTTTCTATAATTTATCAAAAGAAAAAAAGAGAACTTTTACAAATAAACACAAATGACAAATGAAAACATACAAAATTCTTACTATTGTTCAATTAAGCCTTAATATATATATATATATATATATATATATAATAATTCCTATTTCTAACAATATTTTAATAATGTCTTAAGTGTACATGCTTGAAGACAACAATCACCAACTAATGTATTATTAAATTCTAAAAAAAATATTACAAGATTTTTTTTCATTAAAAAAAAAATTCAACTTACGTGCAAAATCTTTAATTAAAAGTGTACGTGTAAATGGATCATCATCAATAATCATATGTCGTTTTTCATGTGATGATTTTTGTTTTTTCATTAATATTTGTTTAGCTCTCTGACATATCATATCAAGCATTTGGACTAAAGCTGGACCACATATTTTAATACTAACTGGTTTACGTGTTGATGTTGTATTTTGTATTGGATTAGTTAGATTCTTTCCATTTGTAAATAATATAATCAATATTAAAAGAATAATCAACGATGATCGAAACATGTGGATTGATGATGATGATGATCAATGAAAAGAATAATATTACTAGTGAACATTCTTTGAGTCAAGTTCACTTTCACTATTGTTAATCTCATCATCGATAGTAAACATAGATTTCACATATATATCATGCATTAGAATAATACTCGTTTCACTTACTTCCATGAAAATTATAAAACAATCAAACAAATTCTTTTCTCTTTCTTTCTTTCTTTCTTTTTCCTTATTCTTCATTTTATCAAAATGAAAATTATATAGAAAGGATATATACAAGGAAAGGATAAACAAACAGATTTTTATGTATGCATAGAGATTTAAAACTAATTAGTTTTTTTTTTCTCTCATTCATTCATATATTAGAATTTTCTTTTTTTTTTTCTTGAGAAATGAACTCTGCTAGTGAAAAACTATCTTTTGAAAATAAATTATGTATAAACAAGATAGTTTAATTAATATATATTCTTGAAAATTAAGTTTAATTGTTTTTTTTTTAATTATCTTTTATATATTTGATGAATAATCAAGGTCACAAATACTTTAGTAACAGATGTCTATTGATAAATCGAATGTCAAATTAACATGTTCATTTCATCATGTTAACGATTTCATGATTTTTATAAGAATGACAAATGTAGCACATGTATAGGATGTATATAGAGAATAAAAAAAGAAGTGTTACTCTTAACAATCAAACAAAAAGAGAAAAAAAAAGGAATCTGATATCAGCAGTCAAGTATACTTTTAAGAACGGCAATCGTAAAAAAAGAAATGATATATAGTATTACAATTGAATTCTAAGAAGAAATTCATATTTGATATTTGTTTGTAGGTTTATTTATAATAAAGGTAAGACTTATCTTGAGAATACTTCGTTAATAAAATAACAAATAATGCATTCCGACGAAGTTTATATCCGTTTTTCCAGAAATCCAATCTTCAATGAATATTCTTTAAAGTCTAACTTAGAAAATACATAAATTTTATTTTTCTTCAGGACTAATCAACTTGAAAAATATGCATGGAACGGATGCTTATAGATACACAACACAATATAGATGAACAAAAACAAAAACAAAAACAAAAACAAAAAAAAAAACAAAAATAATCAATAAAGAAAAAGCAAAAACAAAAAAAAAAATACAGTTGTTGTATATATTTTTTATATAATAATAACAAATCATCGAATTTTCTACAAGAATATGCTTGATGTTTAATTTAGAAACGATCAATTATAATAAGACATAAACAACATTCATTCTTAATCTAAATACATAGTATTTATTTTATTTAAAATCCAACTGTTATAAAAAAAAAAAAAAAAAAAAGAAAATGTAAAATGTGTGCATATATATATATATATTTATATATAATCAATTTGTATGATTTAATGATGTATTTGTAGGTATTGAGTCTGATGTAACATGATTATTAGTTGTTGTTAAAAATGTATTATTTGCATTTGCTTGTTGTATTAAATCAGCTAATTTATTTCTATCAACTGATGTTGAACCAAGTAGTGCTTGTGCTACTTCTGGTAAAATATGTATTGTTATCATTGGTACTGTTGTTGATGATGATGAAGCATCATTTGTTGTTGTTGTTGTAATACGTGTTAATGATGGATTTGTAAATAAATCTTGTGCATTTGTTAAATTAATTGTAACACGTTTACTATTATTTGAATCTGTTGTTGGAATTGTTTGAACATCTGTTTTTGTTAAATTAAAATTATTTGAAGTTGTTTGTGTAATTGATGGTATATGGGATTTTTTTAAACATGTATGACGATGTAATAAAAGTTCTAATTGATGTTTACGTTCAGTTAAATTTTGTACAGAACGTTGAAGATTTTGTTCTTGTTCAGTTAATATTTGTTCAGTCTAGAAAAAAAATAAAATAAATTATTTTGAAGAATTTATATTTTGATATTACTTTTTCTAAATGTTCACGAAGTTCACTTCGTTTTTTACGACATTTAGCTGCTGCTTGTTTATTTCTATCACGACGTTGTTTACGTTTTAAATCTTCTTCAGGTGGAAGCTAAATATAAAAGAAAATTAATCAATAAAAAGAATTTTGAATAATGTTTATTTTATTCTTACGACTTCATCTTTACTTTTTCGACCATTAGAAAGTGTTGGTGCAATATGTTTTCTTGGTTTAACTAAAATTGGTCCATATTGAATTGGTTCAATTGATTGATCTTTTTTATTTTTTGATGTTGATAATGATTTATTTATTTTTCCTCGTCGAGACTTTATTGCTGTATTTGAATCATTTGATATTTGATTATATTCATCTGTTGACATTGATATATTATCATCATCATTATTATTATTATTATTATTATTATTATTATTTTCTAATATATTTTCTTGTTTTCTAGGTCGTAATTTAGCTTGATGAGCTAATGCTGTTGCTGTTGGAACACCATGAGATGTTGTAAATTCAGCAAGTGATAAAATTGGTAATGACGATTGATTTGGAACATTAATTACATTCTTAAAAAGTAAAAATCAAAAAAAAAATATATATATTAAAAAAAATTTTTAAATTTATTTTTACTAATGGTTTAATTGTTGTTGTTGTTGCTGTTGTTGTTGTTGGTACTCTTTGTCGTCCAGTAGCCATTGATACAAGTGTATTAGCAACTTCAGTAGCAGTATTCTCAGGATTATTTGTTATAAATACTGTTGTTGGTATAGTTGAATCTTGAGTTTGAACACTTTTTTCAGCTGTTGATTGTTGATTTGACATGGTAAAAAGTGTTGGTGTAAATGTTTGTATCTTTGATCTACATGAATAATACAAAAAACAATAAAATTTTTGAAGCCGAAACGGTGTAATATCGCTTCTTTTTTTTTTAATTGTTTTTTGAGAAAGTGCCAGATGCTTTCTTTTGATAGAATCAGAAGAAAACAAATCGCAAAGAAAATAAAAAATTTTCTGTTTTTGCATTCGAAGAACGAGAGGATTTGTCGTTCCACGAGGTGTACGTATTAGTCAGATGATATATCGTTATGTTGAATCAGCGACTTATCACAAGGACAAAAGTAATTTTAATAAAAATACGATCAAAAAAAGTCATAGTTCCACACAAATATGTATACTCCTAACTAAATATACCCTTATTCATCACTTTATCAATAGCTTTGTCTTTATGTACGCCTGATTGTTCCTTTACTCTGTTGCTGACAAGACGGCAAGCAAAAAAAAAAAAAAAGAAGAAAGGTTTTTGAAGGTCGATGACACATTAATTTTTTTTCTTCTTTCTTTTTTTCTTACACTATCGACGATGATTAACAACATATATATACACGAGAAAAAAAGCAACAACATTAGATTGTTGGTTGCTTGCTGTTGTTGTCGTCATGTTTATTATATGATTCATGGGGAAAAAAAAAGAAGAAAAAAAGAAAAAGAAAGCAATACCTCATCTAAATACAAATCAATTTCAAGCAGTGAGAGGATAGTAACCTAGCAAAAAAACATACCATTAAGATTACTATTTTTCTATTTTTTGCGTTCGTATACATGTGCATACGTATGCACTTAAAGAATATATGTTCGATTGACATTTTTTATCTTTATTTTTACAGCTCAATAATCGGATGATTGTTAAAAAAAAAAAAAAACTATGAAGCATACCTATCTTGTATAACACTATATATCATATTTTTATGGTCCATATAATTTATCTATCATTTATAATAATCTGAAAAAGAAAAACAAAAGTAATATCAATAACAAATTATTTTTGTGTAAATAAAACAAAAACAAAAAAAAAAGAAAAAAAAAAGAAAAGATATAATAAATTTTAAGTTTTATTTAAACAAATTGATGATGAACAATTTTCACATGTTGTTGTTGTTGTAGTAGAAGAATTTTTATTCTCATATGCAATATCAATTTTTCGACGTGTTTGTTTTATTGGTCGATGTTCAAGATTATTTGGTGTCCATGGTCCAAGACTATTTTGAGAATAGAAATCCATTGGATAACGATTTTGCCATTCAATTTGACGAAGAGCTACCATAGCCTAGGAAATATGAATTGATTTTTATAATTATTTTGTTTTTCTTTTTCTATTATACCTCATACGGTGTTAATATTGGTGTTCGAAACCCAGCACCCCAATCAATAGATAAACGTGGACATGATGTTTGAATCCAACTAAAATACATTATAGCAACAAAAAAAAAAATTTATAAAAAAAAAAGAAAACTAAAAATTTTTACGCATCAACATTTTTAAATAATTTTAATTTATCAGGCATTAATTCAGGCATAACAACTTGAATAAATTTTTTTCCATTTACTTTTAAACGTTGTTTAATTGTCTTAAAAAACAACAACAATCAACCATATATATATATATATATAAAATTCTTGTTTTAAAATAAATATAAAAATAAAATTTTACTTCTAAAACTTTTGGTGAACCTTGCCGTCCAAGTGAACCTAAAACTAAACCCCAAACTTGTCCATTTGTAGCCTTATTAATTTCATTTTGACGTATACTATGCATTGATTTTGTATCATAATATTCTCGAGTAAATTCTTTTGAATATGGATCATATCTATATAATGACAAAAACAAAAAAAGCTGTTAGTATAATCCCTGTAGGATTAAAATATAAAACACGATGTACCTGCTGTTACTAACCATAGGGAGATTGTTTTATTCTATCTATTTTGTAATACATTTCTTCACTATCCTTTAACTTAATACTCCAAACATATATCATAACAAGATATTATTAATAATATACGGTCTGTGATAGCCTTAACATTCGTTTTAGATCGTGTTTTATAAACAAAAGTTATTTTTGTTTTTTATTGCAACATACTTGTATGCTGATGCATCGGGATTATGGATCATAATTGATTCAATATGAAATCGTCCATCACCAATATATAAAATTGAATATGATTCAGGAATAATTGGTGATGTACAACCAAGAATTTCACCAGGTGATAAAGGTTTTGTTTGTGGCATAATAACATCAGCAACATGTTCTTTTAATTGTTCTTTTATAATCTAATTTAAAAATACTCAATAAGAGAACAAAAAAAAAAAGAAAAAGAAATTTTACTTGTAATGTTCGAACAAATTGTATTGTACTAACAAGTGCTAGTTTACTATCAGATGTAAAATGATGTTTTAATGTATCGACTATATGTTGAACATTAACTTGAATATCAACAAATATATAAAGAATACTTATACCAGGTGTTTCATCAATAGGAACTAAAATTAAATAAGAAAATCATTAAGTTTTTTTCTTGAATAAATAATGTATGTTATGAGTAGACTAACAATGAAAGGATATGTAATTGTAACTCAAGAACATACTGAATATATTCGGATTGAATTTAAAAATTATTACTTGATATTTAGAATAGGTTTTCATACATTTGATTTAGCAATTTTTTTTTAATACTACTATATTATTGTTGAAATAAGGTAGGACTCCCGACGAAGCTTCTTCAAATTGTTTTTCAGTCAAGACGATGTTTATTTGATGAGTAATAGAAAAGTCTAGAATGGTTTAGTTTTCCGGATCTTCGTTCTTGAGATATCGAAGTTTTACTGAGATTTTTCAATAAAAAGTTACAGTTTCCTTCCGGTCATGTGAGAGTGTCGAGTTCAAACTTTGTCCGAATAAAATTTGCTTTTAGACATAAGAGAATTTCGAATATCTCAGGATAGGTGACACTAGAAAAGTCAAAATTTGTCCAATGAACCAATCTCATTAAGAACTTTATTCATGTAAAGTTTGAAGTCGAAACACTCACATCATCTAAAGGAGTCCACAGCTCTTTATTGTAAAATCCAGTAAAATTTCGATATCTCAAGAATGAAGGTTCGAAAAACTAAACCACTTTAGGCTTCTCTATTACTCACTGGTACTGATCAAATGAACATCATCTTATCTATTTTTGTTCTTTTTTAGAACTTTCAAAGAAAATTTCATATTGACTGATCTTTTAGATTAATATAACGTGTTCAATAAATGTCTATAATTACTTTAATTTTCTTGAATATTAAAAATAAATTTTTTTATTTTCAATTAAAACTTACTAATTAAAAGTTTTAAATCTTCTCAACATAAAATTATTTTCTCTATCATTCAATTTGATAAGTACATTTGTCTTCTCTTGAAATAATATTCTTATATATAATTTTATTTTGATTGATATTTGTCTGGTAATAATTATGAAAAAAGAAAAAGTTAGGTAACACGTTCTATATTGCTTATTTATTGCCAAAATTTTATTATTATGACGAACATTAACACTCACCTACCTAGGCAACTATGTCCATAATGTATTAATAAATCACAATTCAATGCTCGAGCACCATAGTCATCAATACAACATGCACCATAAGCAACATCACCCATAATAACAATATCAACATTTGTATAACTTAAAGAAAAAGAAAAACAAAGTCAAGGATTAAAATCTGAGAAAAAAAAAGCCTAGTTTTGTTTTCTTACGCTTTAAGTATATCAGCAATAGTACAAGCAAATATAAATAAACCTTCAGGCATTTGCATTGCAACTAGTCAAAAGATAAAATAGAAATATTAAAAATAAAAATTTCAAAGGGTTTTTTTGTTATTGTACCTCGTTTAGCTTTAATTGTTTTTATTCTCCATATTGTTTTATGTATTTCAAAATTATAATTCTCTGGTAATTGTTTTATTAATAAATTAAGTTCTTTATCATTAAGTAATTCATTAGGTATTTGATTTGCATTTAATGGTCGCACTTTACTCATCTACAAAAAAAAAAAAAATACTAAAATATTTATCTATTTGTATTTAAATAATAAAAAAAAAAATTCTCAAATTTATTTTTTATGTAAACGCATATATGTTTGATAAGAACGTTTAAATTGTCCACATGAACATGATGAATGAAAAAGTTCACGTAACGCTAATTCGATAATTAAATATAAACGTAATTGAGTAGAAACTTGACATAAACGATGTGATGTTGATACACAACAAGGTTTTCTTGCCTAAAGAAAACATAAAATTAATTTAATTGAAGAAAGAACGGAACTGCATAAAACCATAAACTTGTCTCTTACTTAAATTATATGATTCGATATTGTCTAAAGTAACAAAAGCCAGAAATAGAAACGCTAATTCTTCATTCTCGAAAGTATCATCGATATTATGAGATAATTTTATATAGCAATATTATTTTCATTTCAGATTGGTCTAATTAGATGGAACACTCGTTCTGCATCAATTACTATAAAAAAAAAAACCTAATAAAACAAATTTTCATTGTCGATCAATGGTATGCTAGCTGAAAATTCGTTACTGCTCATTGACTTCTCAAATAGTAGAGACTCATAATATTCTGGTTAAATAACTTTTTTATATACCATTCGAAAGCACCTTTCGCATGCTACAAAAGCATATATTTTTCAAACTCAACGAATACTGATCACCTAAGAAATCTCAAGTACATTATTTACTAGACATGATTTTGTGCTTGTTTTGGACATGTATTTAGCAGGCTTTTAGTCACAAAAATTATGATTGAAACCAAAACAAATAACAAATAACCTTTGACTTCAACTTCTACTATTTAAATAAGATTTTAGTGAAATTGATTTTTTGATTCGATCCTGAGACAGGAACTCCGACTGAGTTTTTTGGCGAAAACAAAAATTCATGAAAACATTCGAAATAGACATAAGTCGACTCAGTTTTTGATGCTGATTTCAAATTTGTTATTAGTTTTACCTCCTCTGGTAACTTTTGTGATTAAAACCTTGTTAAATATATATATAAAAAAAAGCCCAAAATCATGTATAATGAACAATGTGATTGATATTTCTCAGGTGGCCAGTATTCGTTGACTTTGAAAAATATATGCTTTTGTAGCGTGTGAAAAGTACTATTGAGTGGGATATAAAGAGTTATTTGAACAGAATATTATGGGTCTCTATCATTCGAAAAGCTAATGAGTAGTAACGAATTTTCAGCTAACTCATCTCTGACCAGCAATGATAAATTGTTTTATTAGATTTTTTTTCTTATAGTAATTAATGCAGAATTGAGTGTTCTATCTAATGAGACTAACCTAGAATGAAATCAATATTGCTTTACAAAGTTATCTCACGATATCGACGACACTTTCGACGATGAGGAAGTAAGTTTAGTATCTCTGATTTTTATTACTTTAGACATTATCATCAAACGATTCAGCATAAAATTCTGCATCGAATCATATAGTCTATGTAATTGGACAGATTTGTGGTGTTATGAACTATTGCTCTTCAATGAAATATTTTACTCGATAAACATTTGTTTCATAAGCATCAACATATTCTTGTAAAACATCACGTTTTTGACTTTCTGAATTAAATGCTTGTAATGTTGCTCGTAATAATTTCATATGTTCACTTAAATTAAAATAATATTAATGAAAAAAATAAATTTCTTTTTTTTTGTTTTCATTTTTATTTACTCAGCTTGATAATTAAAGTCTTCAAATAATTTTTCTTTTAATTCTTCGATTTCATTATCACGATCAGCTATTTCTTGTTGATATTGATTTTTTATTTGTAATAAAAGAGAATTATACTATAAAAGAATTGAATAAAAATTTTAATATTGTTTGTTTTTGTTTTTGATTTACTTGTTCAATAAATTTTGATTTATCACTAGTTTTTAATGTTTCAAGTGATCTATCTTTTGTATTATTTAAACGAATTAATGTACGCTGAAGTTTTAATTGTCTCATTTCATGATTATCACGTATATGACGTTGATTGATTATTTGATTTTTCAATTCTTTTAGCTAAATTATGTCAGATATTATTTAATATTTATTTAATAAATTAAATCATAATTTGTATGAATATGAGTATGAATGCAACAAATTCGAAGTCTTTGGATTTGATATGATCGAATTCGACAATTTCGGTAGAAAAATTTTTACAAATGAAAGAAATTTGTGTTCTATTTGTAGAAATAAAAATCTTTGAAAACAATTCAGTTGCATTCAAAAGAGCTATTACCAAATCACAAACTCTTAGTATAGATTTGTTCGAATTTAGACAGAAAGCTAAACCTTAGTCGAAAATCTATGCATAGAGTCCAAATCTAAATAACAAAGATTCGTTCCCAAACCTCAAGTCTATTTCGAATTTGTTGCATCTTTAGGCGAATGTAAAAAGGCGTCTCCTTCCGTTTTCAATGATTTTTTTTTTTGACTATAGATTCTACTTAGTGTTCTAATAAAAACCGTAAAAGAATTTGAGTTCCTATTGAGATTTGACTAAGCTATCCAATTTTTACTATGTCTATTTTCTAGACCATAGGGCTTTTGGAAAACTTGTATTGTCGAATTTTGATCTGAAATTTTGCGCATATAGAAAACTCAACTAGATTAGCTTTCATAAAAAATTCTTAAATTTTGAACAAAGTCTCTTCAAGATATGATACTTTCAAAAAAATGCATGCTGTACACACTATTTATGGAAGAGGATTTATACCTTGAAAGTCTCATTGAGTTCTCTATATGTACAAAGTTTCATATCAAAATTCGAAAATACAGACTTAATCATTTTAGAGTTTTTATTAGAACACCATCTAGTATTTATAGACACAAAAAAAAGTCATTAAAATCGGAAGGACACCTCTGAAGGAGTTCACTTGTGAGTAGTTTTCTATTTTTTGATTTCGGACTTGATTTGTGACTAACCTTATTATTGAGTTCTACTGATGTCGTCATTAATTGATCAATGAATTGACCACGTTCAACACATGTTTGTTGTACGTTTGTTTTGTGATAATGTACTTTATCAAATGTATGACGACTAACTTGAAGTGATTGCTTAAAAGAAAAATGAACATATGTTTCTATTGAATAAAAAGATAAAATTAAATAAATAGCTAGTCATAAGATGCAAAGAAAAAGATGGGATCAAATAAAGCTATTTTCTCTAAGGATAAATGTATAAGAGCAGCTAGGTAGTATAAATACACCTACCTCGAACTAGAGAACCTATTTTGAATGGAAAGATTTTCATAAAGAAAACTATTAATTTGAAAAAAAAGAACGAGAGAAAAAAAAATCTTACTGAAAGTGATGCACGAAGGCGATCAAATTTTTGTTTAAATAAATTTAATTCTTGTTCACTACTACTTTTACTTTGGTTGAAAAAATTTTCTTCATCACTTGAAGGCCATGTTAATGTTGACCGTAATTTTAATGGTGGTAATTTTATATTAGTACTATGAGAATTACGTTTTCGTAGTGTTAATGTTAATGGAGCAATAAGTGAACGATTATAATATGTTGGAATATTTGATAATGATGACGATTGAAACTGTAATGGTGAACTACTCGAATCCCATATTAGACTACTAGTATTTGATTCAATAGGCATTTTAAATAATCTAAAATTAGAAACACTATAACTTGACAACAATCACTTAATATCACTGTAATACATCTATATATATATAATAATAATAATAAAAAAGAAAAAATGAACTTATTTTTTTAATATAACAAAAAAATTAATAACAACATTATTTACTATAATCATAAAATGAAAATAGAAAATGATAAGATATATATATATATATATATAAATGTATTTATCAATCATTCTTCATTGACTGTTAACGATGATGGTGATGATGATGTTGTTGTTGTTGTATCATAATTATCATCCATACGTAAATCAAATGTTTTAAGTAATTGAAAAAGTGCACCTGCTTCTTTAATATTTCGAAAATTAATACAAAAATTTTGTACTTCTAAAAATCGATCTTTTATATCAACAACTTTATTACGTATTAATGATTGTATAAAAACACTAACAAGACGTACAAAACGATTTTGTAAATATTTATCTTTTGTTTCTTCACATGTTTTTATACATGTTGATATATATAAATGAAGAAATTCTTTTGGTAATTCAATTGATGTTGATAAACGATTAACAACTTCCATTGAATGTAAACTCATATCCATATTAAGTAATGATGATAAATATTCAGTCATTTGATTTGATGATATTAATTTTAATAAACATTGTATACTTATACATGGATTATTTTCAACTAATAATGGTAATTTTGATGGTATAAAACCAATATGATAAATAAGATCTGGATCATTATTAAATTCATCTAAAAGTTTTTGTTGTTGTTGTAAATTTATTGCACCTTGATAAGCTTTATCCATTAATTGACGAATTGCAAAATTTGTTGTATGAGATATACACATTGATGAATCCCATGAAAATAATGATGTATCATGATCAATATTTATTATTGGTGATAACCAAATAAGTTCATCTATTGTACATTCATGTAATGGTGGAACAAGACGAAGATATTCAGGATGTATTGTTTGTTCCATAACATTATTTAATAATAAACGTTCTATTGTTTGTCGACTACTATTCGATCGATGACGTACACCACCAATAAGTGTATCAAATCCATACTTAAAAAACAAAAAAAAAAAGAAACTTTCATAGATTTAATATGATTTCAATAGTCAAGGTTATTTTTCATTTTCTTATCATGAACGAATTTGAATATTTTTCTATTTCTTTTTTACACTTTGTTTATAGTAGTAAAGTGTACGCGTATACATTCTTTTCGTAAGCGAAATGTACAATGACGAAGGTTTCTTTTAAACAATGCATTAAAAAGAAAACGAAAAACAAATAATCTTTTTTTTTTCATTTGACGACAAGACCTATCGATGATCAAAAAAAAAAAAAAGGTGATAGCGAAAAATACGTTTTGTTTTTCATGATATAATCAAAGAAAGATTGGTCAGGATGACAGAAAAAAGTTGAATTTAATATTTTTTCGTTAAAAAAAGGAATATGTATAAGCGTATATTTTGCTTCTACTTAGTACATCGATTATCAGTAATACTGTTTACAACACTTCTTTTGATAAAAAATTTGAAGGTATCTGTTTTATTAAGTTGATAGAAAAAGAATCTAGGCGATTATCACCAAGGTTAAATGTATTGCAGATGTCTTTTTTCTTTCTGTAAATAGAAATAATAGTAAAACTTTAAAGTAAGTCTTGACATTTGATTCTCTATTCCATTGTACTTATTGCAATAGATTGATTACTTTGAAAAATATAAAAAGTAATCTTGATTACACTAAAATTTTGCGTATTTTTTATATATACATCCTCTAAAAATAAGTAAATCTTATTTCTTTCTGAACATAAGAAAAAAAAAACAATTTTTTTAATATCTTGACATACATGATTAATTTCTGGATCATCAATTATAACTGGTAAATGACATTGAGCAATAGTTGGTACTTGTTGTGATCTTTCATATATATTTTCTTTTAATTGTTGTTGTAATTCTTTTTGTTTATTATCATCATGATTTAATAATAAATCCGATTGTAAAATTTCATTTGGTGTTTTATTTAATAAATCTCTAATATTATTCGTATTATTAATTAATAAACTAACAAATAAACGTTCATATTTTGTTACAGGTGAGATAATCCAATGAAAGTATTTTTGTGTTGTTAATAAATTTTCTTCATTTGTTTCTAATACAGATAAAAAAACTGGTGCAAATGGATTCATATGTATTGATTGTTGTTCATTTTTATACATTTCAATAAATAAATAAAATATAATTAAACGTTGTTGTGATGTTGGTGTTAAATCTCGATTTTGTAATAAAAGTACAAGTGCATTACCTAAATAAAGATAATCTGATTTTGATATTCCATGTTGAAATTTTATTGATATTTGTTCAAATGTTAATGATGAACCACATGTATCTTCATTAAGTAAATTTAAAATAAGATTTATATCTTTTGATAATAAAGGCATTCTAGTTTATAAAACAAAAGAAGAAAAAATAATAATATTCGAATCTAAGAAAAAACAATCCATATACACAACATATCTATATATATATAAACAGAATGGAGAAATAAAATAACCAATAAAAAACTTCTAATAGATGTCAGGAAATAAAAATTTATTCTGTTTATTATTTTCTTTTTATCAATCCCTTTCGATTGAGTTCTTGCCAAAAAAAAAAAATTTAAATATTTCCATTTAAAGGTATTACAAGGAATTTCATCACTGCATAAATCGTTTATTTAAATGGCAGATATCATATGATTAATAACTATTATTATTAGGAAATAGAGTTGACGCATCATCTTGTCTGAAAAGTTCAACAGATAGACAAAAAAAGAAAAGATGTCGTAAACTTTTTTTGTCTGCATAATTTAGAAGGTCAATATATAGAAAAAAAAATATATGTATATATATTAACGAAACGTCACTTGTTAAGGTTATCATTTTCATCATTTATATTCACGGTCGTTCATAATAATATATTCTCTATAGATATATTATTCATTATTTTTTAGGTCTTTTTGTTTATATTTATTTCTCGTCTCGAACAATCGATATATATATATTTATACCTTGAAAATAAAAATCTATTTATTATGGCAGATGATGATCAATTTAATATAGGTAAGATTAATTTACAACAAACAAAAATGATATGAATTTTAAAAAAATGTCTTTTTTTATATATTAAATAGATGACAATAGTGAAGATATCGAAGAAGACGAAGATGAAGAAGAAGAAGGATCAGATGATGATACTGGATTTTTTCCTATTGACGAACCAATTGTACATTCATCACAATCAAATAATATAACAACAACAACAACACGTCATTCATCAGAACAGTCAACAACTAAACTTTCTTCCAGTCTTAGTGGTGCATCAAATAATTATCTACAAGATAATAATTTTGAATATATTGGTAAGATGATTATTTTAAATATTCTTATCATTAATGAGAAAGTCATAGAATATATATTTCTCTATCAAAAAAAATTTCATTTATTTTCATCTGTAGTATTATCACAAGATGAAATAGTTAAATATATGGTTGAATGTATAAAAGAAGTAAATGAAGTTATAAAATTACCAACAACAACTGTACGTTTATTATTACATCATTTTCGTTGGGATAAAGAAAAATTAATGGAACGTTTTTATGATCCAAATTATCAAGATGAATTATTTCGTCAAGCACATATTGTTAATCCATTTAAAAAACCTTCTCAATTACAAACACAATTATCAAATTCATTACATCGTTCAACACGTCGTCAAATATCATCATCACCTTCAACACAAACATGTATTATATGTTGTTCAACAAAATTTTTAAATGAAATGGCTGGTTTAGAATGTGGTCATATATTTTGTATTGAATGTTGGGGACATTATTTAACAACAAAAATTATGGATGAAGGTATTGGACAAACAATACCATGTCCAGCTAAATGTGATATTTTAGTTGATGATAAAACTGTTTTAAATCTTATTAATATACCAACTGTTCGTCGAAAATATCAACATTTAATAACAAATTCATTTGTTGAATGTAATCGTAATATGCGTTGGTGTCCAGGAACAAATTGTACAAATGCAATTAAAGCATCATATTGTGATGTTGCTATGGTAACATGTACAACATGTAGAACATCATTTTGTTTTCAATGTGGTCAATCATGGCATGAACCAATTAAATGTAAATGGCTTAAAAAATGGCAAAAAAAATGTCATGATGATAGTGAAACAAGTAATTGGATTGCTGCAAATACAAAAGAATGTCCCAAATGTCATGCAACTATTGGTAAATAATAAGAAAATTTTATTTATGCTAAGAGGAAACTTCGAAAAAAAAAACGTTTAAGAGAATCTTCTTTGTCAAAGATACGGAGAGAGTATAGGTCATTGACCTCTAATACAAGCAGCTTTCGATTACTTTAATGAGGAGACGAAATTCTCTCCCACGCGAAATGTTCAATTGGGGTGCGGATGGTCTTCTCATGAGCTCTAGGAAGAATATTATGGCAACTTGAAAAAATGAAGGATAGAATTTTGGCGGGAGATTTTTGTCCTTTGCAACTCCTATATCTTCCTAGAGGAAGTATCTGGGGATTTTGAAGTTATGACAACTTTTGCTCTACTTATTCAGATCTATAATGTCTTGGTAATTTTTCGTCGAACTATTTTCGAGAAATCCCTGAAAGAGGATACCTTAAACTGAAAATTTCTTTTTATAATGATAAGATTAAAGTGTAGAAAATAAGAAGTTGTCTAGCATTTTTGTAGAATTCATATGTATTTTCAAAGTAAATAGTGAGTGTAAGTTCTGGCTCTCTCCATCCAAGCAAAAATAAGAGATATCCATAGTGAACAACGCAATAGTGTGAAAATATCTTTTTTCTTATCGTAGTTAATACACGTCAGTATCTATCTATAATTTTTTCAATTCGTAAGAAATATCATTATCCATTTTTGACTGTTGTCATATATTTTTCTTTTTTTTCCATCATATCATAAAAATAATAGTATTGCAATTTGAATTTAAATCATATAAGAAAACGATTTACAAAAAAATTATACTAAATTATCTGGTAGTTTGTATAGAAACAACATAGAACAGATTTACTAAATCTAATAGCATTTCAAAATTGTTTTTGCGATATTAAAAATCTTTTGTAATAAGATAATATCATTTAAATATTCTTTGAAATTATTATTAAAATAAAAGAAAACAAACTTTTTATTTTTATAGAAAAAAATGGTGGTTGTAATCATTTAATATGTAAAAATCAATCATGCAAGTATGAATTTTGTTGGATATGTTTGGGTCCATGGGAACCACATGGTTCATCATGGTATAATTGTAATCGTTTTAATGAAGATGATGCAAAAAAAGCACGTGATGATCAAGAACGTTCACGTGCAGCATTACAACGTTATCTTCATTATTATAAACGTTATCATAATCATCATGAATCATTAAGATTAGAAAGTAAATTATTAGATCAAGTACAAAAACGTATGGAATCTATGCAACAACAGATGAGTTGGATTGAAGTACAATTTCTTCAAGTAGCATGTGAAGTACTTCGACAATGTCGTCAAACATTAATGTATACATATCCATTTGCATTTTATCTTAAACGAAATAATCATTCGTAAGTTATAGACAAAAATCATCATTATGATCCCTATATGTCATAGAAGACAGTATCCGATACGACAACTTTTGTTCTATCTGTCTTGGAAGTTTGAAATTTTTCTTATGAGTCATTTTTTCAGACGTTCTAAAAAGGAGGGAAGTTATACTTTATATGAGAAAATCGACTATAGTTCACTGAAATTCTATGTAATGAAACTGTTTATTATAAATATTTTTGGCTAAGGAATAATTTTGTTTTTGTTAGAATTATTTTTGAACAAAATCAAGCTGATTTAGAACTTGCTACTGAAGAATTAAGTGGTTATTTGGAACGAGATTCAAATCAAACAACAAATTTAACTGAAATGAAACAAAAAGTACAAGATAAATATCGTTATTGTAGTACACGTCGAAAAGTATTATTAGATCACGTTGCTGAAGGATATGAATGTGATTATTGGTTAGTTTAAAAAAGCAAAAATCTGCCAATGTTTTATTTTTTGTTTTTATTCTAGGGAATATAATGAGGATGTATGAAAAACAATATATATGTATATTATTATTTATCACACAAAATATATATGACAATTATAGATATTCATTTAAAATTGTGTGTTTATCTCCATGTCATTTATTATATAATCCCTTTTTGTCCTTATTTGGATATTTAGACGAAAATTTGGCGTATAATTTTGTTATTCTATCTTTTTCTTCTATCTCATTCAATTGTCGCTTTTGTTCAATTTTTCCAAGAAGAATACAGAATATATATTAAACAAGACCAAAAAATTTTTTCTTTTTTTTTTTATGATATATTGTGAATTTTTTTTTTGTCATATGTCAATTATATATATATAAATATATAAATCGAACTAATTACTTCTCTTTTCTTTCTTTATATTATTGAGTGATACACTTCAACAAACAATTCAATTCATAAACGAATAATCGAATATATATGAAAATGCTTTTGAGATTTAGAGATGATAGCACAGTCATATTATCGGTACATCACAAAAAAGGAAATTTTGTATAGTTTTCATGGCATATTTTGATTAAAAATTTGGTGTACATATATAATGTATCTTTTGGGACAGAATAACTACATTTGTTCAGATGTAAAAAGATTCGACAAAGTTCTTACAATGTATGACAAGAAATATAACGATATGATCTTACACTGAATGACTTTGTTGATTAGCAGCATTAACACGTTCAGCCCGATTCAGTTTCATTACAGAATAGCTCTAACAGATTCATTTTTATGTGTTTTCATTGTCCTTTTCATTCTATGCTGGCTCATTGTTTTCTCTTTTCTGATTGCTATACGACATGGACAGTTATATCTATGCATCACAGACTGGTTTTTACCAACATGACGTATTGAGTTTTTCCAGTACGTTATCACATGTTCTGTATTGGACTTTTCCTAATAATATATCCGTTTATCTCATACTTGATATTCTTCAACATGCTTATAGTTAATCAAGTGGAAAGATAAACGAGATGTTTTGATGATATCCACAAGATCATCGCATTCAGCAATTGTGGTGAACACTGGGAAAAACAATATACGAAATGAGCCTATTATGAAGCCACAAGTTGTACTAGATTATAACGAGGGAAGACAAAGTAGTGATTTGTCAGATCAACTATCAACATACTATACATGTCTCAGACAGTCTATAAAATGGTATAAAAAGGTGGCATTTGAACTAGTATTTGGAACCGTAGTAGTTAATAGTGATTTAATTTACAAGAAAAATTATAACGCAAGCGACATGATCATTCTGCAGTTTCGTGAGAGTTTCGTGCAGTCTTTACTTCTTGGTACGCCATTTGAGAAGCTGAAACCTGGTCCGAGACAACAATCAGCAAGTCGTTCGAAGCATAAACTCGCTGATCACCAGCTCGAAGAAAAGGAAGAATTTGTGCGCAATGTCTGAAGGTGCTGTGCTGGTGGCTATGAGAAAAGCAGGGAACAATAATCAAGAGAAGCGAGCATGCTGGCAGCAAAGAAAATAAAAACCTTCTGTGCTGACTGTAAAAAAATTTTTTGTGTTGATTGTTTTAACGAGAAGCATCGTGCTATGGAATAAAGAACTCAAAAATTACTGAAGACACAGTAGGTGACACATTATGTGTAATCTCCTGCCTAAGCAAAAAGGCAACCGAAAGCGGTTTTCTATACAGTTTCTTCTTAAAATATAGTGTGACCCACCCGTGGGTTACATCTGGCTGAATGTGTTAATTACATAGAGTTTCGTTGTACATGCACACGATTTTTCCTAGTAGCAGATGCTTCGAGTTTTGTTTAGCGTTGTTTAAACTATACTATTATCCATTTCAAAAATAGAGGAGACGTCAATATATTTCGGGTAACTTTTGGTAGTAACAACATAGAGAGCTGTGATTTTCACCATTACACAAAGAGAAGTCTCAGGTGCATAGATTTGATTGATCAGCTCAATATTTGTGACATGTAGACTTGTTATGCTACACAGCAGCGGATTGTGAAACTTTGGAAATACTAGTATAACAGTGTCAAATCATTTCGAATCCAAAAATAAGTATCACTATTCGACATATCATAGTATATTACTCCTGTCTGGATGCTTTTCCAGATGATTCCAGGTCAATAGTTATTCGAAAATTATCCATGGCTCTTCTTTTTTGAAATGGATAATAGTTTTTACATATGAAAAACGAAAATCTTATTTTAAAAAGAGATTGAACTTTCTACGAGTATACCAATAATTCAGTTCTCTTCACGTCATATGGCAATTTTAATGTTCTCTATATAAAAAAAAAACCTAACAAAGAAATTGAAATCTATACAACTAAATCGAATTGAATTATAAAAGCTGCACAATGTTTAATATATTTGATAAAAATATTCAGATTCATTTCTATGAGAACAATTTCTTAATTTCGTACAAAAAAAATGACAAAATTTTGCTATTTTTATTTAGTAGTTTACAGTTCATTTTGACATGTGTCTATCATACCATTTGGGATGAGTTTGCGAAAGTCATCGACTGGAATAAAGTGACATCTAAATCGACCATGATCCAACAACTAAAACATGCGGTAAAAAAAATTCGAAAAAATGTTGTGTTTGAAAGTTGTGCTTCTTGAACTAATCGATTGTATCACATGTCACAAAATAATTGAAATTATTTAAAATAATAAAAATATCTACATTTTGTAGAGAATTTGACAAGGAATCTTTCTATAAAAATTTTTTTTTCTAAGCTGAATAATAGGTGAGAAATATGCAAAAGACTGAGAGGGTCATTTATTATGGGCCACCCGTTACAAACGAAAAAAATTCGCAAACTGGATCTTTAATAATTTTCGAAAAGAAGACACAAAGAACAGTAGATCATGCTGAATATATCCAACATGTTCTACCAATAGCATTAGAATATGGAAATAAGTCCTCTGGAGAACACTGGACATTTCAACCGGACGATGCGAAACTTTACGTACATCACCTAACACAAAAATGGTGTTAGGACAAATTTCCATCGTTCATAGATAAAAATCATTGGCCACTGAATAGTTTAGGTTTAAATTTATTGGACTATTCTATTTGGGACGAATATGTACGATCCATCAACTGGAAGATAGTAACATCAAAAGATACACTCATCAAAGAGCTGAAATGTGCAGTCAAAAAAATTCGACAAGATGTTGTTTTACAAAGCTGTTCGTTTGAAACGTGTCATAGAAAATGATGGACATCATTTAAATAAATAAAAAATACACTATTTTGTAGAGCATCCCAAGACGAATCTTTTAAAAACAAAACAAAGTCCAAACAAATGAGAATTGATGGAGATATCAGTAAAATACTGAGAGAGTCCTTCTTTCCGGAACATCCGTTAGATTCTCTATATTTCGTCCTGGATCCTAGTTCACTGTCCTAGTGAAGGTACTTATTAGTCGTACTTGTGTTAGAATTCGAGTATTTGAGTACGACAATCGAGTACTCGCTGTGTAATATTGAGTGTTTTTTTGAGTACTCTTATC